ATCTTGGTATTTCTTTGTGTATTCACGCGTTGTGCGCGTGATATCACAGTATCTACCCATAACGTCGACAGATTTGTCATTGGAAACTGACATGAACACTTTTGCATACTTTGTTGTTATCGTTTTTCGGAATTAATTTTAGTTTTAGAGCTTTCTTCTATTGCAAATTTGTTTTGGGATGGGAATCAAAGTAGTTTCGAAATATTTGTATTAGCCAAATGTTGTACTCAATGTTGTTAATTTTAAAAGGCTTTATGACAGCATTTATGAAGGAGTTAGGCATTAGCTTCTTTTTTGGTGAAAGGATTGTTTTATGTGCAGCAAGCTAACACACAATTACACTTTGGGTTTTCCAGCATCTGTTGCTTGCCCCCTCTGATGTGGCTGGTTGGGGAATTTATATCAAGGAGCCTTGTAAGAAGAACGATTTCATCGGCGAGTACTGTGGAGAGGTAGGAAAATTGTTTTCTTTGCCTTCTTATAATGCACATATAGCAGTCACTTCATTCGTTGTCTTTACCGTGGTCGTTACGCGTCACGCCAGTTGCACACGCACACGCTGGAGAGTTGGCGCCGAGAAACAGCAATGCCGATATTCTTTGACTAAGTCGCTTAAAAAAGAAATGAGAGATTGTTTTTTTCCTTTCCAAATTATGACAAATGAGAATCTTAACATTTTTCTACTTTCGTTTGTTTTGGCATCAGATTATCTCGCAGGACGAGGCCGACCGCAGAGGAAAAGTTTACGACAAGTACATGTGCAGCTTTCTCTTCAATTTGAACAATGGTAGGGAAAGAGGAATGTCACATTTCGTTTAATTTTCTAAAAATAATTCGTTACTCTGAACCATTTCAATGTTACTGTTAGGGTTTAAATCCTCGCAGTTTTTTTCTTCTACGCTCGCGTCAATTGTGTAGCATTTCTCTGTTAAATCTTGTTGAATTTGCTTCATTTTCAGACTTTGTTGTTGACGCTACTCGTAAAGGAAACAAAATTAGGTTTGCAAACCATTCCATCAGTCCGAACTGTTATGCCAAAGGTGAGAGATCATTGGACGTCTTTGTTTCTGTGGTGTTGTATGCTGGTAACCTCAAGTTTCAGTTACAAACAAAAGAAAACACCATGTTTGATGTTGAATCCAAGGGTGTTCCGAAGTTCATTCTAAATCCGCTTCTAAAGTTCAGTCCAAATCCGGTCCCGAAATCCAGTCTAGATTTGGTCCAGAAGTCCATTCCAAATCGATCACACTGATCGATACAACACTACTGTCCTTAAAGCTCTACGCCAGTGACCTAGGAATTAGTGACATCATCCAAATTTTTGTTTTGAAAAATTCGTTAAAATCGTTTAAAGCGCATAGTCTCACTCGTTTGCTACTAACGGAGGGTTAAAAGGTTCAACTCTGATAACGTCCACTGAATTACTTAGTAGCTATGCCAGAGAACACGTTGTTGCAAGCGAGAAACAAACTGAAAACCCAGCACTTTGTTCCATTTCAGTAATGATGGTAAACGGGGACCATAGAATTGGAATATTTGCCAAACGTGACATCGAGGTTGGAGAGGAACTATTCTTCGACTACAGGTAAAGAAAGAAAAGCTACTTCCTCTTCATAAGCTGGCATATTTTCTTCAAATGAAAGGTCGATCGATTGTCACGAGTGCGGGACTTATTTTTTCGCACAAACTGAACGGAAACGGCAAAGGATGTCAGAACGGCAGTAGCTTTTTCCAACATTTTCGTGGGAAAAATAGGAAGAGGGAAATATCAACCAGAGCACAATAATACGGCGGCTCTCCAACGTGCAGGACGACTTTTTTTTCTACCCCCGCAATGCATTCTCCTTGAGCGTGGCCCTTTCTGATCCCAGCAGTATAAACAATATACAATAGATACGGCAAATCCGATAACGGGACCCC